GTCTAAGAAAGGAATGGGACCATGAACCTGGAAAATCGAGCCAGTAAGCAACATCCCTCCTTGGTCTCTACATCAAGTTCCTCCCCTGAGTTACTGCCTTGGCTTCCCTTGGTGACCTGTAAGCTGAGCAAAACCCTTTCTTCTTCAAGTGGTTTTGGCCAGCCTTTTCCCACAGTAACAGAAATGAACTTGGAGGTAAAAGAATGTCCTCACTCCTTTATCCTGTGTGCCATACAGAAGAGCAGATGCGTCAGAAGAGTCCATGCTCCTCCTTGGTGTGGAGAATCACCACGCCAACTCCACTGTATTAGTAATGGAAACCTGTGTGTTGAGGGAAAGAATGTGCAGCTAAGTTGTGTTCATTGAGATCTTCCTCCATCTCTCTGTCCCTCTGTCCCTCATCCCTCAGTCCCTCCCTCCCTCCCTCCTTCTTTTTTTGATGCATAGTCTCAGTGCAGCCCAGAATAGTCTCAAATTCACTATGTAGTCAAGGATGATCTTGAACTTTGGAGCCTCTGGCCTGTGTCCCCTGAATCCTGGGACTTCAGGAGGGCACCATTATCCCAGTTTATGCTGGAGACAGAGCTAATGGCATTGTGCATGCTAGGCAAGCACTTGTCCCCAGCCCATACATTTTCTTTTTCTTTTTTCAAATGCAAGATCTCATTTGCCCAAGATGGCCTTGAATCACTGCCTAGTGAAACATGACCTTGAACTTCTGATACTCCTGCCTTCACATCCTAAATTCTGAGGTTTGTAGGAGTTCCGCCACCACTCAGCTGAGATCTTTCTGATTATAAAAATAGGACATTGTCACTGTATTGGGGAAGGGAAAAACTGGTAAAAAAAAAAAGTATAAGTTGCAAATTAAAAAGACTCATGGTCCTAGCTTCACTTTTCAGTACTTATTCCTTCCCCATGAGTCTGCATAGCTCTCTGCCATCCTAGGGTGACAACAGCACCAAACCAAACCAAACAAACAAACAAAAACTCCTGCTACTTTGGATAGCATTTGGAAAAGAAAAGACATATTTATTAACCTCGTTGTCGTTTATACCTTTAGGGAAGAATGGCTTTCCATAAATACTGACTAACAAGTCGGTAGACCCATAAGCATATGTAAGCACTCTTGCTGTCCTCCATGGTGAGTGCTTTGTAAATCGGTGGTTGATGAACACAGGGATGAAAACTGTCCTTGGAATGTTGAATGCATGCTCTTCTGACCTTTAATTAGGGCCTGCTGTCCCAACTCCCAACACACTGTAAGTCCCTGCCCACAACCCTGATGTGTCTGCAACATCACTCTCTGGATTAATAATATGACAAGGCTTGGTGCTTGGTGCTGTCCCTCAGATTCACCTACTCAAAAGGACTGCTGCCAGTCTAGATGAGGATGCCCTTAGCTCCCTGAAGACCGATAGTTGCCATAGAGATATCTATGTCCACAAAATTCGGAGATGAGCCATATAATTGTGGGTTGTTTTTTTTTTTTTTGCCAATGGGAAAATAAACAGTGCCAGCATACCACAGAGATGTCAGCTCACCATGTTTCCTACATCCATGATCATTAATTTTCACAACAGCTGAGGTGTGGAATTGCCTGTGTGTCCATCAGCAGAAGACTTGATGAAGCAAGCATGATACACACAGTGGAGTTGTTATTCAGTCATGAACAATAAAAAGGGCAGCATATAGGAGGGCGAGATGGGGGTGAACTAAAACAAAGTGACACACACACTCCTAGCCCTCTAGAGGCACAGGCAGGTGAGGATCCTAGAACTCACAGGACCTAGAACTCACAGGACCTAGAATTCACAGGATCTCTCTGAGTTCTAGGACAGCCTGGTCCACATAGGGAATTTCAGGCCAGCCAGGGATATATAGTGAGACCATAACTCAAAAACAAAACAAAAAAGAAAGAAAAGAAAAGATACTGAGATTTTTGTCATTTGATGCAAATAGATAGAACTGGAGATCATCATGCTAATAAATGAGCTGGATTCGGAAAGAGGAAATAGCATATGTGCTTTTTCTCTTATGCAGAATACGAGTGCTTGCATATGCTCATGTATCTACTGACTATTATGAAAAACAATTCTTCCCCAAAGGTATAAACGACAATGAGGTTAATAAATGTTGGAATATAAGATAAAATGAAAAAAAAAAAAAGAGTTGCCATGGTCATGGTATCTGTTCACAGCAATAAAAACCTTAACTGAGACAGCTACCAAATATATCTAAATATTTTTAGGAAAAAAATTGTATCTAAGCCGGGCGTTGGTGGCGCACGCCTTTAATCCCAACACTCGGGAGGCAGAGGCAGGTGGATCTCTGTGAGTTCGAGACCAGCCTGGACTACCAAGCGAGTTCCAGGACAGCCTCCAAAGCCACAGAGAAACCCTGTCTCGAAAAACCAAAAAAAAAAAAAAAATTGTATCTAGTCTAATTGTGCATTTAATTTCAAGTCAAAAAGCTTTGAATTTCCATTGCCTGAATATCTAACATATTAAGTATATAAGAGTAGAAGTTACACAATAACTATTGTTCTTTAGAATAGATTCCCAGATAACTTTGTAGCTTGCTCTTTGAGACAAGATTTCACATAGCCCTGATTGCTCTCAAACTCACCATGTAGCTGAGGATGACCTAGAATCCCTGACCTTTCTGTCCTCCCCTTCAGAGTTCTGGGGTTACAGGCATATGCCACCATGACCAGTCTCTGTGGTAGTAAGGGTTGAACCTAGGGCCTTGTGCCTCCTAGGCAGGTGCTCTATCAACTGAGCTACGTCTCCAGAATCAGTAGAATTAGTTGAAGGATTTTTTAATGCCTCTTCTTCATGTGTATGTGTGTGAGATGAGGATGTGTCATGTGTGCCATGTGTGCACTTCTTACCAATGCTCAATGTGTTTAGTTGGTCCATCAACATTTATACGCTCCTGTTTGTTGTCATGGTGATCTGAAGGGCCAACTGTGAGTCTACCTGTAATCTGTCTCTGGTCTCCATGGACATGAAGCAAATGCTTTCTTTGGGGGGGGGACTGATGTTGAAGGGCTCCTGCTGCTTTTGTTGTTTTCTGAGAAACAATTTTCTGTGTCTCAGAGTAAAGCCTCAGTGATTCTAGAATTGCAGAAGTGTCAGAACTATGGAGGCTACCAGTGCATACTCTGAAGAGCTCAGTAAATGGGTGTCAGAGAAGGGAGGAGGCTTAGAGTGCAAATAACAGTTGGCCTCATGGGCCCTGCTTCCCGACTGTGACCTTCCTGGTGTCACTGCTGAACTGCTCCTCCACCCTTCCGACTGCAGCAGAGAGTTGCCGTGTGGTGGAGTGCAGGGAAACTATAAACACTAAAGTCTGTTCACTTTTGAAAGCCTGGGTCAGGGCTTGGTTATTCGGAACACCCTGCCTTGTCATCCACGGCTGGAGGTCAGGCCTGTGTGGGGCAATGGCAGCTCTGAGATTCCTGGGCTGCGATGTGTCACCACAAGGTGGCATCATGCTGATCCTAGTCCTCTGTCCCTTTTGGATCTTTCCCCTTACCGTCTAAGGACACCTCATTCTGCTCTGCCACTCACAGCCTGTCCTGCAGATGCAGAGAAGGCATGGATCCAAATGAGGGCTCTCTTCACCTTGGTCTTGACCCACACCAAGCAGTGCCGACAGGCTTGTGACAGGGCTTTGTGGTTAAAGACGCTTGCCACAAAAAAAAAAAAAAAAAAAGACGTAAAGGCCTGGTGGCCTGAGGACCATCCTTGGAACCTACCTGGAGGGAGAGGACAATGACTCCACATGTTCTCCTCTGACCTCCACATCCGCACCCAAGCAGGAGTGAAAAATGTAACCGTGTACGGTGTGCTGATGCATCCGTGTAATCCCAGTACTCGGTGTGTGGAGGCAGGAGGATCAGAAGTTCAAGTCGTCCTCAGCTATACTGAGAGTTCAAGACCAGTCTGGGCTACGGAAGACCCTATCTTTTTTTTTTTTTTTTTTTTTTTTTTTTGGTTTTTTCGAGACAGGGTTTCTCTGTGTAGTTTTGGAGGCTGTCCTGGCACTCGCTCTGTAGACCAGGCTGGCCTCGAACTCACAGAGATCCGCCTGCCTCTGCCTCCCGAGTGCTGGGATTAAAGGCGTGCGCCACCAACGCCCGGCTTGGAAGACCCTATCTTGAAAAGGCTTCATGAACCTAAGTTTAAACAGGCAAAATTAAAAACAGGGAAATCAGTGGGAAAGGAAAACCTCTCAGGCTATCACAAACAAGATATCTGCTGGTGACAATTGTGCCAGGAAATTGGATATAACAAGCACACTGAAGATGAAGCACTCTATAATGCGGGAGGCAATTGCAAGAGCACTGAGTGATGTTATTTATAATAGCCAAAATAATAACAAAATAAACAAAAACAATAATCAGAAATAGCCCCTCCCTTTTTGGCAAGAGAAAAAATATAGCTATTGAAATAGTTACTTTTGTGTGGCTGTGACCAAAATATCTGGCAGGAAAAAAAATCAAGGAAGGAGAAAAAGTTCCTTTGCTCTAGTTTTAGGAGCAAACTTTCAAGTCCACCACAGGGAAGGGATAGTGGCTGGCAGCTCTGCCTGTGGTGGCGGGGACATGTGGCAGGGGATGAGCCTGTGGCTGCAACCTGGAAAGCAGGGTCTGACCAGAGCCTGAGCTGAGCTACGGACTTCAATGGCATGCCTGCCTCCCTCTAGTGGTGAGCTACTTCCTCCCGCCAGGCTATGCCACAGAAAGGCTCCAGTCTCCCAAAATGGTGCCACCAGCTGGAGATCAAGTGCTCCACCTGGAAACTCCTAGAGAATATTATAGATCTAAAACATCATAGCCACACACTGGAACTTGTGTAGCACTGACAGTGAATGGAATGCAGTTTACACAACAGTAGAAAAGATGTTGTGGAAGTGTGCACATCTGGGTACTCACTCGAGGTGGGCCAAATGATGTCCCGTTGGGCTTTGAGATTTAAACACAGTAGACGATGTCTTAGTCTCTTTCCCTGTTGTTACCATAAAATACGCTGACAAAAGCAACTGGGAGAAAATAGGTAAATAACGCTGTCTGGGAGAAAGGGCTCATTTCGGCTCACATTTCAAGTCACAGTGAGTCCCTCGTATTGGGGAAGTAAGACAGTGCGAACCTGTCGCAGCAGCTGGTCACATTACAGGGGCCTCAGCTCACTGCCTCCACTTATACCACAGGTCCTACCTATAGCAGCAGCTGGTCACATTACAGGGGCCTCGGTCAGAAGCGGATGCAGGTGTGCTAGACTCAGCTCACGGCTTCCACAGGTCCTGCCTACAGTAAAGAGGATCTTCCCACACCAATGTACACAATTAAGCCAATTGCCCATTGGATGCGCTCAGAGATGCCTCTCCCAGGCGAGTCTAACATCCATCCCTGACAGTCAATGCTAATGATCACAAATGATAACCTCTGTGCTTTGACTCTGAGAATCCTTCTTGGAGGGGCTTGGAGGGGGAGAGGGACTGGGAAGCTCAAACTCTCAGCTCCTCGCCCACCCCACTGTGGACCCTTTGCATCTGTCCTGAACTGGGTGGCAGCAGCCTGAGGTTACACTTGCTGTGCACACACAGGGCTCCCCCCCCCCATCCCTCGCAGACACAGTGATGCTAACTAAGCAAGTGACAGTAGCTTTATGTTACTGCGCCTCAACTGCTGCATGATCTCTTCGTAGTGTGGGGATCAGCAAAACAGAATGGGAAGAACAGGCTGAAACCCGAGAACTGATGTTAAGCAGAGACAGTGATGAGGTGAGGAATGTTAACAGTTAACTAGGAGGACTCAGGTTTGAGGACAGGCTCTGATGGCTGATGGGAGAGGAAGAGATAGAGATAAAACCGCTGCCTCTGGAGACCACCTGCAGGAAGTGTTAACTGGGCCACAGGCAGGGAAAGCACGGATAAGTTCAGATCAGCAAAGTCAGAGCTACCGTAGGGAACATTACCTTTAACAAAGGACGGCTGTGAGCCTGACAGATGTTTGAAAGCCTGGGTTCCAGCTGTGCTGGGACTAGAACTAGAGCTCCCTATAGACCCACAAGAAACTTCTGGGGGAGAATGGATCGGACAGGTAGCTAGGAGAGCTGACACCTCTGCTATGGGCAGAGGATGAAGTCTAGCTACTGAGAAAGCAGGGGAACCTGAGAGCAAATAAACCACCATGAAGAAGTCCTGGGAACTGGTACAGCGAGACAGTTCCTGCCAGAGCCTGCCTGGATGACTGTCTGCATGGTGTTTCAAGAGACTTGTGAATCACAGCTCCAGGACTAGAAGTTCAAGATCAGGGGCAGAGGGATGGCCCACCAGGAGAAGCATGCTGCCAGTCATGACTACCTAAGTCTGAGACTAGAGCCCACACGACGGAAGGAGGGAAGTGACTCCAAGTTGTCCTCTGATCTCTACAGGCTTGCTTTAGAATATGGGTGGTAGTTCACACACCCATCCACTGCCACACACACTAAATGAATGTGCAATCATACGTCCAGTCATTCTTAGCCATTTAACAAGTTTGTAACCAGCCTGTGCTACATAAGGTCTTGTCTCAAGGGAGGGAGGGTGAGTACACCTGTATCGGCAGGGACAGGCAAGTAAATCATCACTGGGCACCTTCCTGCTTCCCACCTCCCCCTCCAGGCTAAGCGGAGGGCACTGGGCTTGAGTATCCAGGAATAGAGAGGAGAGTGGGAGGCTGCCCTGGTGTCCCTCACCTCTCCCGGGAGGGGCTGTTCCATGGTATCAGGAAGCTTGTACAGCACTGATAAACTTTTCATTCCAGCGAAGAGTAACCCATGTCTGTGATCAGGCAGGTAAGCAGGCATGGCCTGGCCCTGGAGGGTGTGTGCTGACTCTTAACCCTCATCCAGCCAACTTCCAGGAGAAAGGGAGTGATAGATGTTTTATATTAGCTGGAGGGACAGTTGTAGCTGGTTAAACCTTGGAGTCCTTGAGGAGTAGCAGGATCGATGCTCCCTTTTGTAGCCTGAGACCTAGAAAAGTAAAGTGATTTCCTGGGGTTATCCTGCTTGACACATGATTTCAAGTAGCAGAAGTTGTTTTCCAGCTTCACAACTTGTCACCCCCAAATGCTGACTGTATAGAATGTTCATTTCCTGAGATTTGAGGTGATGGAGGTGTGGATCATCCTCTCTGTCCTGGCTGGTAGAGGTAGAACGGCAGAGAGAAGACTTTTACACAGGACAGTATCCACCTCCAAACTGGAAAGTACGTCCTTGTCTGTTCAGAAGAAACATCACCAAACTTTTTCACCCAGAAAGTCAAACAGCTTTCCAAACTGACATTGTCAGTCAAGGTCAACCAGCCAGGAATCTGCTGCAAGGGCCCAGTCTGCGGATGAACCAGCATACCATGTGCTTACTCATGGCTTAGACACATATATCCTACTTTCAAAATGATAGCCTATGTCACTGCAGTTCGTAATACACACTGCCTGGAGTGGTTTATAGACATGGAAACCCTAAGATTTATTGCACAATCAGACAGCATAAACCTATACTTTATTTCCCTGAGGTGGGGGACTAGTCGTGGAGTTTGGAAATACCATGTCATCTTATCAGAGGGACAAGTGTAATTGTTCCTTCCTAGGAAGGTTTGTGTCCTTTGCCCAGGAGGCAGTGGTTGAGAAGTGTGTAGGGTCAGGGAACACACATGCCCTGTGGTTCTTTTATGGCCCAGGACTGCTTCCCACTGTAGTGAAGTCGTTAGTGATAAAAAAGTGAGCACGACTCAACTGCTGATCTGGGATGAATGTGAGCATACTGTCTACCACATCCCAAATGTGGGAGACGAAATAGTTTGCTACTTTTTGTCAAAAAGCTTGGTTAGTGCAGAAACAAAGCAAACCACCAACAACAAAACAAAAACACCAAAACAAACAAACAACCAACCACCTAGAACTGAAGAGGGCTCCAGGTAAAGGTAAACATAAAAACTGGAATTGCCCGGGCGTTGGTGGCACATGCCTTTAATCCCAGCACTTGGGAGGCAGAGGCAGGTGGATCTCTGTGAGTTCGAGGCCAGTCTGATCTACAGAGTGAGTTCCAGGACAGCCTTCAAAACAATACAGAGAAACCCTGTCTCAAAAAATCAAAAAAAAAAAAAAAAAAAGCCATCCAACCAACCAACCAAAAAAACAAAACAACAACAACAACAACAACAACAAAAAACAAAAAACCTGGAATTGGGCAGAAAATATCACATGGAGAAAACACTGGCCAGGAAAAGAATGGCCCCACTACACACTTTCCATGAATTAGTCAAAGGATACTGCTTGACACTTGTAGGTCTCTCTATGCTCATGGGTAAAGCTGGGTGACTCTTAAAAGGATCAATGGTTACATTGCAAAATGCCCCCAAATTGGATTTCGGGTCCTTTTGTATCCTTTTATTATTAATATAAATGGGTTTGAGGATATAGCTTAGTCAGTAGAGTGCTTGCCCAGTACACATGAAGGGTGTGGTATCTGTACTCCAGCATGTCAGCAGAGTGTGGTGTCTGCACTCCAGCACTTAGGGGGCAGAAGCAGTGTGTATTAAGAGTGTGTATTAGAGTGTGATGTCTGCACTGCAGCACTGACGTGGCAGAATCAATGTGGTAATTACTTTTCTGTTGCTGTGATAAGATACCACGACCAAGGCAACTTCTAAACGAGTTTATTTGGGCTTACAGTTAAAGAGGGATGAGTCCATCAGTGGCTGCAGGCGGCACACATAGCAGAAACACCTGAGAGCTTATATCTAACACACAAGTAGGAAGCGGAAAAAGGGAACTGAGATTTTGATATGGCTTTGAAAGTTTCAAGCCCGCCCCCAGGGACATACTTCTTCCAGCAAAGCTGTTATCTCCTAAACATAAACAGCATCACCAATGGGCACCAATTTAAATAACCACAGACAGCTATATGAAAACACAACAGGACAAACCAAAATTATTTTATTCAGAATTACAATGTTTTGCCCGCCCCCTTCTTTTTAAAAGCAGTTTCCAGGGCCAAAGTTGTTTTTACTTAAAATTAGAAAAATACATGCTGCACGTAGGTCTGTGTACCATGAACATGACTGATGGCTGAGGTCAGAAGAGGGTATCAGAGCCCCTGGAACTGGAGTTCAGTTCTGGACAGCTGAGAGCTGCCATGTGGGTGTTGAGACTTGAAGCCAAGTCCTCTCTGAAAGAGCAGCCAGTGCTCTTGACCACTGAGCCAGCTTTCCAGCAGTGGCTGTCATTTTACTCTAAAGGAAGCTACTATTGTATTTCTGTGAATTTTCACATAAGCTTGACTCGCATTCTGTCCTAACACTCTACTAATCTTGAGAGTGCTTGCTTCTCTCTGGTCCTAACACAAAGGTTTGGGGACTGGGGCTCCAGGGGAACACTACAGTGGAATTATCTTCTTGGATAACAGATCCAAGTGTTATTAACTGCATAGCCTGGTGGACAGCAGCATTGTGGGGACCTTGAGGAGAGTTCAGAACATGAGGAAGAATGTCAGGTCCCTTCTTACATATTTCAGAGGAAGGCAGAGGTTCTGTCATGTGACTAGTATGTAGTCCACAGTATGATTGCAGTCAGACTGCCTCTGATTCCTGGCTGGTAGGCATAGGGAGGGAGTCTATTAGCCTAGGGCTTGTATGTATATGACTTAGGGCTTCTATTGCTATGAAGAGACACTATAACCATGGCAACTCTTATATAAAAACATTTAATTGGGGTGGCATACAGTTTCAGCGTTTTAGTCCATTATCATGGTGGGGAGCACAGAGGCGTGCAGACACAGTGCAGTCAACATGATATGGTTTCTGCCACTGAGAGTCACACCTACACCAACAAAGCCACACCTTCTGATAGTACCACTCCCTCTGGGGCCATTTTCTTTCAAACCACCACAGTAGAATATACTTTGAAGGTGGGGAGAGCAAGAATGTACAAAAACAAGTTAACAGAGGAGTTTTACAAAATGGCAAAAATTCAAAGCTTGGGGCTACCTAGTGAGATCCAAGCCACTCAAGGCTAAGTGAGATCTTCTAAGTAAACAAATAAATAAATAAAGCAATCAAACTTTGATTTGGGGACTTTTCATGGACCTTTAGCTTACTTCCATTGGGAGTGCCTTTCTATTCTTTAATAAACTTCCTGTTTTTTATTACTAGAGATAAATAAATAAATGTTAGAAATTGAAAAAAATTTATTGAACAAATGTTTTTTTTTTGTTGTTTGTTTTTTTGAGACAGGGTTTCTCTGTATTGTTTTGGAGGCTGTCCTGGAACTTGCTCACAGAAATCCTCCTGCCTTTGTCTCCTGAGTGCTGGGATTAAAGGCATTCACCACCAACAGCCGGCTTTGAACAAATGTTTTAAAAGGCATCAAAATACAAAAAAGAAAGGTTTGAGCCTCCAGTTTCAATGGATAGGTTAACTGGCTAAAAGAATAAAATTAGTTACAGAAAAATGGAGACAGGGAATGTGAAAGAGACAAGGTATAAAATAAAAACAAAAGCCTGTCATAAAGGTATAATTCCATAAAAGAGGCTGAAGTCATATTTACAGAAATAATTTCTAGCTGGGCAGTGATGGTGTATGCCTTTAATCCCAGCACTTGGGAGGCAGAGGTAGCTGGACTTCTTTGTATGAGGCCAACCTGGTCTACTGAGTTAGTTCTAGAACAGGCTCCAAAGCTACACAGAGAAACCCTGTCTGGAAAAACAAAAAACAAAACAAAACAAAACAAAACAAAACCAAAAAAGGAAAAAAGAAACAATTTCTAAAAACAATCCCGAAACTAGCAAACAATGTCTGGGAGTGTGAGATCCATTCATAGGGACGCCATCACAAGTCTGCTGGACACGAAACACAAGCAGCCAGAGAGGAGAGACATTCAGGGATGGGTGGACTTTCCCAGTGTGTCATGATTTGGACAGGGAGTTGCCCAGCACTTGGAGGTGGCCATCCCTGTCTTTCAACAGCAGAGGCAACAGAGGGGCAGCTACCCCTACTGAGTCTGTTGGATTCCACCTAGCCAGAAGAGCACAACAGCATTGTGATTGTTGCAAACCTGGAGCCCATGGAGGATGACAGCTCCTCTTCCCCACAAGGTCGTCAGCACTGTGAGCTTCCCGAAGGTTCCTTCCAGGTTGAAACTCTAGTCAAAACTGTTCTTGATCTCAACTCCTCGGGCACCTTGGGAATCCCAACCAAGAAACTGGCCTGGGCTTCAACCATCTATTCAGTGGAGGGATTTACTTACTTACTTACATACATACATACATACATACATACATACATGTTTTTTGAGACAGCGTTTCTCTGTGTAGCTCTGGAATTAAAGGCATAAACCACCACTGCCTGGCCGATTCTCAACTTTCCTAATGCTGCAACCCTTTAATAGTTCATGTTGTAGTGACCCCCATCACAAAATTGTTTTGTTACTTTTAACTGCAATTTTGCTACTGTTATGAATCATAATGTAAGTCTCTGATAAGCAAGATATGGATATGTGACCCCAAAGGGGTCATGACTGACAAACTGCTGCCCATTTTCCTGCAGTCCAAAGAATGGCTCCAGTGCTCAGTGGGTAAAGGTAAAAAAGTGCTTGCTGTTAAGCCTGCCAACCTGAGTGTGACCTGATGGACCCATGCATCGGGAGAGACCTGACTTCTCCCCTATCTTCCATGTGTGCTATGTCACCTGCTGGCCCCCACCAGCACAGATAAGTAAATGCAGCAAAATCTCTTTAAAAAGAACAAGAGCAGAGGCTGGAAAGATGACTCAGGGTTAAGAGCACTGGCTGCTCTTCCAGGTCTTCAATTCCCAGCAACCACAAGGTGGCTCTCATCTGAAATGAGATCCAGTACCCTCTTCTGGCCTGCCGGCAAACAAGTACCAAGCACATAAAACTTGATTTTTCTCCCTTTGTAACCTGCTTGTCAATCTACAAAGACATTTCTTCACCATGCCTGCCTGTTAAAATGCAGCCACTTCCCAAGTCTCACTTCAAAGCCTCTTTACTACTCCTCCCCTCCTAGAGTTTCTCTGTGACAGTCCAGCTTGTCCTGGAACTTGCTTTGTAGACCATGCTGGCCTTGAACTCACTGAGATCCACCTCCCTCTGCCTCCTCAAATGCTGGGATTAAAGGCGTGTGCCACCACTGCCCAGTTTTTCTACTTTTTTAGTTGTAACCAATCTTGTTCTCAAAAATCTACTCTGGTACATTGTTTTAAAAGACTATATTCTTACAGAGCGCACATGCGGACAACTCCGTGGAGTCAGTTCACCTTGGAATGCCTTACTCCAGTAAGTCAACGCCTTAGCCCACGATTTTTAAAATTCCTATTTTAACATTTGATCTATTATCTGGTTTCTCTTAGTGTCTTACAAGTCTTTTGACTTTTTAAAACAATTTATTCTACTTTTGTGTCTTTCTTGTTCCATCACCTTGGCTCCAATCATTCAGCTTGCAGATTATTTTTTTGTATGCCTCAGGAAACATGGCATGTAGCTGGTACATATGGTATATCACTTTTAGCTACCTCACTGAGAATTCTGGGATCATATAAGACATCCGGCTCACTGGAGTAAACAGCCATTCCTTTCTCTGATCATTTTTTTTTCCTTTTTACATTTTGACATAAAGTGCCACTTGAGCCTGGAACTTACCCAGGTAGGCTTCAACATTACATTACAGCTTTCCCACAAGTCTCAGGTTTCCGAATGATGGGATTCTTTAAAGGCGAGTCACCACACTCTGCTTCAGGCCTTGCCACTGTGAATGGATCACTGGTTGGAGTTAATAAAAGGGGCAACAAAACAGACGAGGAGTCACACCCGAAATGGTACAAGTGAAGCCTAAATAAAATGGGGCTTGCGAGTGGCACATCTCTCAAGTCGGCCTGTTACCGGCAGTCCACGGGCATCTCTCTGGGTTCCGTCACTGCAGGGATGCTCACAAAGGAGTCGGGAGTAGAAGGATGTGCTGAGACACGTACTTAACTGAGCGCAGGCAAGCGCGTGATAAGCAAACCACATTCGGACCCTTTCCATTTCCTGGGGTGGGGGGGATGCAGGGGTGGGGGGAGGGCTGTCTGTCTGTCCGCACTGGCCTCCGAGGTCCGAGGTGGAAGCGCAGCCGGCGACAATGACGGGCCTCCGACGCCGAGCTCACACTCAGGCTTCCAGCCCCGCGGGCTAGGCCTCCGAGGCCGGCGGCTCGCCGAGCCAGGTGACGCCGCCGCCTGTCGGGCCGCGCGCATGCGCACAGCGGCGCCCCCGCCCCCACTGCCCGCTCCCAACGCCCCCGCCGCGGCCCGCGGGCCATGGAACCCGCCGAGGCCGGCGCGGTCCGAGCGCTGCTGCCCGAGCGTCCGGGCGCCGTAGCCCCGTGAGCCCGGCGGGCTGGGTCCGGCCGCTACCGCAGCCCGCCCGCCCGCCGGTGCCGCGCGTGCGCGCCCGCCGAGTGAGAGCGCGAGTGAGGGGTGGGCCGCCCGCCGCCGCGACGATGCCGCGGGGCCGCCCCCCGAAGTCCCGGGACGGCGCGGCGCGCGGCGACTCCGGTAAGGCCCGCGGCGGCCGCCGAGTCCCCGGATGGGCGCAGGGTGCGCCGGGAGCGGCGCGGAGGGCGGGCGGCGGCGACTGGCCGGGCGGGCGCAGCGCGGGCGGACGGATACGGGCGCCGCGGCCGGGCCCCTCCGCGCTGGGCCTACTTTCCGGGCCGTGGCGGCGCGGGGGCGGCGGCGCGGGCGGCGGCTTCCTCCTCCTCCACCTCCTCCTCCTCCCGAGTTCCTGTCGGCTCCCTCCCTGAGCCCCTCGCTCCGGGCTGCTCAGAGTCGTTCGCAGTCCTAAGAGTCTCCTGACCGTCCTCCCCGGGTCCCCCGCCCTCCATGTCGCCTGCTAAGCTCAGCTCAGCGTCGTCGTCCCCTCTGTCCCCTCCCTCCATGTCTCCCTGTCTCTTCCGCCCGTCCCCTGCCCGCCCGCCTGCCTCGCCAGTCCTCGGCACAGGCCCGAGGGAGTGCTCGCTCTTCCGGCGCATCCGGGGTTCCGTCCTCACCCCTGAGGGACCCCAGCCCGGCGGGGACCAGGGCCTCGGGTGGAGGGGGGCAGCGGGGAGTGCACACAGTAGGCTGTCCTGCGTGCGCACAGTAGGGACTCGGGAAGGCATTACCCTCTGTCACTTGTATGCCTGGCTGGCTGAGTTGGTTTGAGATAACTTGGGGTCTGTTTTCTTCAGGAAAGAGAAGAGCACAGTTGTGCAGCAGGCGAAGCGATGGGGAGAAAAATGTCACCCACACCGTCGCCTCCCTTCAGCCTGGCGCTTAGTGGGGGCCCCTCCTCCAGCGCGAGGAGGAGGAGGAAACAGGCATCCATTGCCAAGGCGTTCTTTTGAGATGGGATGGGGGTCATCGGGTGGAGAGGCACAGAGCTCAGTTGTGCAAGCCAGGGTTTAGTCCCAATCTGGGGAAATACCTGCCCTGAAGTCCCAGCTTTTGTGGTCCCGAAGCAGCCCTGGGCGGTTTGTGCAGTCAAGCTGGCTGGGAAAGGACCCTGCCTGGGCGCTGGGAAGGCGGTGCCTGTCTGGGACGCAATGCAAGGTGAATAGCCCCCAACTTGTATTATGTTTACTTAGCCGGTTGCTGCTTAGTGACTCAGGGTTTGACTGCCCTTGGGGATGAGTGCCCTGGAGGTTCCAGAGCTGTCATCAAGGAGCCCAGGTTCAGATGCCCACGGTCAGGTCCGGTCCGCACCTACAAAGGACGATGCTAAATTGGTCCATTGGGAGAAAGAGGGGAGGGAGGATTTGGCATCTGTGCGAGCTTGGGAACAGGACACCCAAACTAGAAAGTTGCTACTTAGTATTGCTGTTGCTCTTGACAAAGTCAACAGGCGTGTCAGTTAGGTCAATATGAACACTCTTTCTGAACTTCAGCCAGTGATTTCACACTTAACTGTTGTTTTCATGGATTGCTTGGAACAATGGTGGCTGTAGAGTAATGCTAGCAGGTATCTGTGGTTGAGAATAAGTGCTCAGAGTATTCATCAATGGCTAATGGCTCACTGCTTTGGCCTTGGCCATATTTTCATAGGTGTGTGTGTGTGTTCCTGTGTTTATGGTGTTTGTTTTGATAACATGTTTTATGCTAATAATAATGTGAGGAACAGTGTGGAAAAAGGCTTAGAGAGGAAAAAATGTAAAATTTCCATTGAGACAAGGCTTTCCCAGTACTCTACATTTTACCAGATGGTATCACTGTCCACAAAGAACCAAAATCTAAGAATAATTCTGTTTCTCTTGTTTTCCAAGATATTTCATAACTTTAAAATTTTTTAAATTATTTTTTATTGTGTGTGTTGGTAAGTGTTTTGTTTTTGCATACTGACCCATCTCTCCAGTTCCATAGCTAAGATCTTAGCTGTTTCCTCAGAACTAGGTACCCACAACTCCAAAGGTGGGGCTTTCAGACTGGGCTCTGCTGTCTGTCACTTTCAGTTCACTTTTCCTTGTGGGTGCTCTTTCCAAATGTAATCAAGGGCTACACCCCGATTAAACTTCACAGCAGGTCAACTCGGGATTTTGACATAAGCCTCACACTCTCCGGAACCCTCTCTTCACTCTGGCATCAATTGTTGTCGTCGCTGACCTTGATGGTGCCAATTATGGTTTTGATTTCTTCTTCTTCTTCTTCTTCTTCTTCTTCTTCTTCTTCTTCTTCTTCTTCTTCTTCTTCTTCTTCTTCTTCTCCTCCTCCTCCTCCTCCTCCTCCTCCTCCTCCTCCTCCTCCTCCTCCTCCTCCTGCCTGCTTTTGTTCTTTGTTTTTGTCCTTTTTAATTCCTTTTTTTGAGAGATCGTCTTCTTTTACTGTGTACCCCAAGTGTGGTTTCTTCAGAGATCTTCCTCCGACCTGTTTGAAGGCAACCTTACACCAGTCAGGCTCACCACAGTGGTTCTCAAATTGTGGTGCTTGGGGCTGTGAGGTGCATTCAGAAGTACGTGAGATAAATATTGTTGTAGTGTTACTAAGAGTATTGGGCCTTTTCACTGGGCTAACATTTATGTGCTTTAGTCACATGAACACAGCTGTGGGTATAACTGAAGCCAGTGTAGCATACAGGATCTGATGGTGTACCAGATCTGTGTGTGTGACTGTTGTGTCTTACATCTAGCCAAACGTCACAGAAGGGAGCATGCAGAGGCAGATAGGAGAGTCCAGATTTGTTTTAGTAAACGCTTTGCAAACCAGACATGTTTGCACAGGCCTTTTATCCCAGCAGTTAGGCAGTGCAGGTAGTGGGTTTCCAAGTTCCAGACCAGTCAGGGATAGTTAAACTATGTCTAAACAAATGAGAAAAACAGATTAGTAATTTCTAAAAAATATTTTTCACAAAAAATGTATTATGTTAACAGGCAACAAACTGACTTAAAAGAAATTAGATTTATTTTGATGTTTATGAGTGTTTTGCCTGCATGTACGTATGGGTACAACATGCATGCCTGTTGTTTGGAGGTAAGAGGGTGTGTGATTTTCTGGAACTGAGGTCAAGGACATTTGTGAACCACTATGTGGATACCAGGAACCAAACCCAGGTCCTGTACAAGAACAATAAGTGCTCTTAACTACCGAACCCTCTCCAGCCTCCTGGTTATTTTGTTTTAGTTTAGTTTTGATAAAGAGTCTCATACTAGGCCAGGCTGGAGTAGGTCTCATATGTAGTTCACATGGGCTCAAATTTATGGCAATCCTTTTGTATTCACCTCCCAAGTGCTGGGATTAGATATGAGCACCGCATTCTATTTAAAAATGAGTTACCTCTCCAGGATAGATATTAACAAAATGTGTAGAAATTGCAGGTCTTGAAGTTCTCGTTGATATTTAAGATGTACATAAAATGTTTGAGTCCATTGCCCCACTATTTGCTACCATTTTATAATCTGTGATGATGTCATCCATTTTTTTGGTCACTACATTAGGATTATTACTGTCTACTTCTTGGTTTAAAGACAGGGTTTCTCTGTATTACCCTTGCTGGCTTGAACTTCCTCTGTAGACCAGGCTGGCCTCAACAGAGATCCCACTGCCTCTGCCTTTTGAATGCTGGGATTAAAGGCATGCACCACACTGCCTGGCAGGATTATTATCATATTTATTTATTTATTTTGTTTTTTTCGAGACAGGGTTTCTCTGTGTAGCTTTGGAGCCTATCCTGGCACTCGCTCTGTAGACCAGGCTGGCCTCCAACTCTCAGAGATCCGCTTGCCTCTGCCTCCTGAGTGCTGGGATTAAAGGCGTGTGCCACCAACGCCCGGCTTTATTTTTATTTATTTTTTTATCTTTTTAATTTTTTGGTTTTTTTCGAGACAGGGTTTCTCTGTATTGTTTTGGAGGTTGTCTTGAAACTTGCTCTGTAGACCAGGCTGGCCTCGAATTCACAGAGAGCTTCCTGCCTCTGCCTCCTGAGTGCTGGGATTAAAGGTGTGCGCCACCACTGCCGGGCACATTTGGAGCTTTTAAGATTGCCTTTTTTTGTTTCTGTGGTCAGAAGACCTACATTAGATTACTTTAATCACTGGGATGGACTGAGGCTTGTGTTGTATTCTCTGTTTGCCACCACCGCCGGGCACATTTGGAGCTTTTAAGATTGCCTTTTTGTTTCTGTGGTCAGAAGACCTACATTAGATTACTTTAATCACTGGGATGGACTGAGGCTTGTTTTGTATTCTCTGTTTGCCAGACAACCCATGTGTGTTATCATCATAAATGCTCAATAACTCCGAAAAGGGTTATTTTTCCCTTGTAATCTATGTTTGGCCATTATAGCAAGTAGTATTTCATTAATGACTAATGGTATTGGATGTCTGTGTAGAATTTTCCATCCTGACGGAACAGTCTTAAGGAAGAAGGATCCATTTTGGCCCATGGGTTCAGAGCTTCTGGCTTGCCTTAGTAAAGCTGAACATTGTATTTCAGGATCTTACATAGAGGCTGCTCACTTGATGGCAGATAGGAAATAGGGAAAGGAACAGAGGGGCATTGGACGCCATATGTCCCCAGGGACATGTCCCCAGTGACCTACTTTTCAGAGCTTCTAGAACCTCCAGAAATAGAAGCAACCAGATGGGGATCAAGCCCTTCAGAACGCAAGCATTTTTGGAGGACACTTCATATCTAAACTATAATGCCTGTTTTCTTTGTACTTGTTGACATTATATCTTTAGGAAAATGTTCATTAAATTTGTTCCTCATTTCAAACTTTATTGGTTTGCCTTTTGAATGTTGAGTTCCATGTGTTTTTACTGATTTGCAGATGTTTTCTCT